CTTCTAACAACAATAGGAATAATAACAAAATACAAAAAAATTACAGACAATTTTACATTAATTTCAACTTTTGTATAATATCAACAGATACTTGAAGCAATAGGAACCCTGAAAGTTTTTAACTATGCATGTAAACACTGGGTTGCCGATGTGAGTCGAGGCTGTACTATAGCTCACCGTTAATTAGAAGAGAAACAAAAGAGAATGACTTATACTAACATGAAAAAAGACCATCACACCTTTATATACCAAATAAGCAAACATATGCTTACACATGTTATCAGTTATTTATTATTCTCGTGTTTTGTTGGTGTTGTTTTGAATGTTTACACTGCTGTTTTTCATGTCTTTGGTAAAATAGTCATTATGGCCTGTTTTCGTCCTTAAGTAGTACCTGCAAGCTCAGGACTTGACAGGTTTGCTGTGAGTCAAAATAGTTACAAGGGGAAAATCATCACAGTTCATTTTCCCCCAGTTTTATTTGGAATTGAATTAGGAAATGAAAGTTTTTTAGCAGTTTAATTCACTTCTCCATAAAGTTTATGGAGCAGCAACAGCTGGTTGAATCTGCGGCAAGAAAAGCCAGTTTCAAGTGGCCAAGCTATTGTTTCAGAATTAAGGGGGAAAACTCATTAACTGTTAATGAAAACACAGGGAATAAAAACAAATAGCACAGAAACGCTAGCAAATAATTACCTTACACCTGACACAAAACTGTTTTATCTTTCTGCTTCAACCTTCAGAAATTTCCAACTTATCACTCTATGGAGCATGAATGAAATTGAGTTTGACTCTTAGAAAAGAACAAGAGAGAAATCATCCCCCTGATGGGCCCTCAGCACGATACTCGGTGGAGAACCTGCCATTGAATATACTAAGGAGTGTATCTAGTGCCCAATTCTTATGACACTTAGGCTGGAGGAGCAAATTACCAGCTAATAGCAGGTGAAACCTCGATATAGTTCCCCCAGACCTTGTTTGGAAATACAGAGAGAAAGGACTGGAGGTGGTGGATGTGATTAATGGAGATATGGTGTGTTAGAATATATATCTGTATAGAAACATATTGATTCTGAGCAAGTTGCAGTGGGAAAGTGTGTCTCCAGTGGCAAGGGGTCTTGCTTGTGAGAAAGCCACTCTAAGCAGATGGAGTTCTAAGCCCTAATTGTAGAGCTGCTGAGTGGAAATGTCTGTCACTATAGTTTGTGATCATTTATGTCTGATCCCACTGGACTGCAGTCATGGCCACTTGAAATGGTGATTGTCAGAGCTATGGACGAATCCAGAGAACATGTGTGGTTATGTTTTAAGGAAAAATGATGTTCTCAAACTTAAACAAGTCTAAAATGACCGGAGTAATTGCTAGTTCTTCTATAAAACTTTTCACCCATGCATCTTGAGTAGTTGTAATCATTTTAATTACATGGGAGTGTCTATTTATAAAGCATTATAGGCTTGTTTCTGTGGAGGCCCAAGGGAGCTGGGACACTTGATATGATACTGAAAACACTTACAACAGCATCTTCATCATCAGAAACTAGTGGCACTTGAGTGTAAAGCATATTTTAAAAATGTTTTCCTCACCACAGCCATTGGTAGTACTGACCTAGGTTCTGATTTGCTGCAAAGAGTTGTATAACTTCTTATACAACTTTGTTGCATACTTTATAGATGTAGGGTCTCATGTTTGGCACAGGAATGGCTGTTAAATGCCTACCTGGGGAGGGGACCAGCAGGTGGTGTGGTGTTTAAGGCATGGGACTCCCACATGGCTGGTCCCACGGTTCAAGTCTGGGACCTGGCGGCTTGCTTTCTCACTTTCTCTCGCTCAGGTGACTGCACATGCCCTAGAGCAAATTGAAAGTAAATAAATAAATACATACATAAAATTAAATAAGTAATTCTTTAAAAAATAAACAAGTCTATCTTGGGTATCAATGCTCAGAAACCATAGGAATCACATGAAATTGATTATTCTATCTAAAGTTAGTAAACCAGGTGCTGAATTCAGGCAGATGTTTTGGGTAAGACTTAAAAATAACAGGGATCAGTAGATGGTGTAATGGTTACATTGCTGGACTCCCACATAGTTGACCACAGTTTGAGTCCTGGACCTGGCTGCTTAAAACTCATGCCAGGTGCATGCGCATGCATACCCAAGATCCCAGGAAGAGTGGAGGAGAAGGGATTGTGGCGTGGCCATCCCCCCTGGGGGGAGTGATTTCTCACTTTCTGTCTCTCTGTCTTTTTCTATCTCTCCGACAAGCACATATGTTCTATAGCAAAAAATTTCTCAAAATAATAATAAAGTATAAATGCAACTTGATATCCTGGATTAAATCCTGGGACAGAAAAAAAGACATTATTGGAAAAACTTCTAAAGCCAACTATAGTCTGTAATTCAGTTAATAACAATGTATCAATATTAATTTCTTGGTTTGGCAGATATACCTTGTTTATATAAGTTGACATTGGGGAAAACTGAGTGAAGCATATATGAGAATTCTCTGTACTATGAGACTTCTCTATCATTAAAACACTTATATAAATTTAAAATCATTTCAAAATAAAGAGCTTATTAAAAACAAAAACATAAACACCACAAGGTGTTTAGGGCGGTGAGAGCCCACATGGCTGACTGCACAGTTCGAGTCTCAGACCCAGTGGCTTGAACAACACACAGAGCTTGTGTGCATGGATGTCCCGAATCTGAAGAGGAGAATGGAGGAGAGGGGATTATGGCATGGCCATCCACTTGGGGGCGGGGAGGTGCTTTCTCACTACAGAGAGAGAGGGAGAGTGAGAAATCACCCTCCCACCCAGGGAGGATGACCATGCCACAATCCCTTTTCTTCCGTTCTCTTCTCCACATTTTGGGCATGCATGTACATGCAGCCAGCATGATTTTCAGGCCACAGGGTCCAGGACTTGAACTGTGGAGTCAGTCATGTGGCACCCAGAGCCTTAATCACTGTGCCTCCTGCTGGCACTGATTTGCATATTTTAAAAAATCTTAAGGGACCAGCAGTTAGCGTAATGGCTATGTGGCTGGACTCCCATGTAGTCAACTATGGTTCTAGTCCCGGACCTGGTGGCTTAAACTCACGCTGGGCGCGTGTTCGTGCGTGCCCAAGATCCTGAGAGGAGAATGGAGGAGGAGGGATGGCGTGATGGCCATCCCCCCCCCCCGGGGGGTGATTTCTCGCTTTCTGTGTCTCTGTCTCTCTCTGTCTGTCTGGCGAGCGCAACATGCCCTATAGCAAAAACCTCTTAAAAAAAAAAACAAAACCTAGAATGCCGAACCACTTAAGGGGTGATTTTGCTTTAGTGGTAGACTTGCTGCATTTCTGAAGCAAGCAGAAAACTTTGAGTTCAGAATGACTGTTTCTAAAAATATTCAGTCAATCCCACAAATGCTAAATTTTGCTTGGCAACCCAAACTACTGCTTTTTGAGTTTTTTTTGTTTTTGTTTTTGTTTTTTAGGATTTTGATTTGGCTTAAGATAAAAATTCCTTTTAATCTTGCAGATTATTTTCAGGTTATCAGCCAGGTAGTCTGTTTAGATATCATGTTGATAATATAATTTCAGTGTACTTGCAGTCATGTAAAATTCTAGCATTTTAACTCTCAGTCCAGTATTTGAGAATTTTTCTGGTTATTATGAAAATTACAATGATGCTTGAAGCATAACTATAAACTTGTGTCCTGATCGGTAAACTAATAAAGGAGAGCATTTCTCACATCATTATATGAGATGTTTAAAGTTTTTACTTTTCCAGAATAAACTCTACAGTTTATTCCTAAAAGCCCTATATCTGCAGGTGTTCAACTCGGTTATGGACAACTACTTATGTTGAGAATTCAAAGAAGAGTCTAGATATGCTCATCTAATTTATGGAAGGAGAAGGCTACAGCCATTCTCTTTTTTTATCATTTTATATCCTCCCTATCCTTCCAGTTTAATTGTGGGAAATAAACCTTTAAAGGGAGGCAATACAGATTCTATGTAGGTTGTTTGGTTTCACTGCTCCCTAGTTGAGATCTGGGGCCAAAATTCTACAGTGTTTACTGAGATTAGCATTGGTGATTTCCTTTGGAAATTAGTATTTCAAATAATATTAAATTCAGTTGAAAATCCCCTCTTCATGTTTGGAAAATGAACTAAGCAGCTGTTGGTGTCCTTTTATCAGCAGCTTGTACCTCTGTTCCGGAGATTTTAAGAAAAGCCATTTGCAAGGCAGAGCCTTTTCTTCCAGTTTCTGAGTGAGCTAACATCTTCCATCTGAACCTTTTAAAGTATCATAATAGCAGGCCCACTTCTACAAAATACAATCCTATGTATGTTGGAAACACCCAAAAGGGATTAGCATTGCTTTAATTGCATAATTCAGTATTGTATATACATTGCTTTGTAGCAAAGCCATTTTACAGAACAAATATTACCTTCTTAGGGCGTTTAGAATTCCTAGGAGGTTGGTTGCACAGGCTGTAAACTAGAATTCCAAAGAGAGAACTTTGTTAAGGTTACCAAACAAGTAGTGATTTAAATAGGAAGAGAATCCAGCGAAGTCCAGGTTCTCCTTATTTCACTTCTCTTATTTTTCACCTTTGCTACATTCTATTATGCAGAGAAGGTTAATCCTTTGTGCCATTCCTTGTATAATGAATGGAGATGTAGAATCTAGGTATACAAATTTATATAGCTGTGTTTTTATTTTAAGCGTGGTGGAGGTGGAGGATTTTAAGTGCTGGAGAATTTTAAGTATGATGGAGGTCTCTAAGCTAACAGTTCCTAGATCCTAGTGAGAGAGTTACTTGAGTGGAACATTTCCCATCCAGGTAAGTTGGTTTTCGAATTGTTTCTCATATGTTAATGGAGAGTGGCCATGTTCTCCAACTAAAAGATGCATCTTTTCTTGTGAATAACGGAAGAGATCTGTAAGTATCTTTATAAAGATGTCCAGAGGATGACCTTCCTTTCTTTCTTTTTGTCCCTCAGGGGGAGATCTTGGACAGGACAGCTCTGATGATAATCACAGCGGAACTCAAGGCCCTCCTCTCACAGCAGATGCAGCCTTTTCGTCAGATTATCAGGATGAGGGTGAGTGTCACCTTGCTGGATTTTGGCTGACCCTTCTTTGTTACCTTTCGTCCTGCTGTCTCTGCAGAAATTGGTAATCGCTAGTTTGCAAAGAACAACTATTTGTTTCATTGTGGTGCTGATCCTCTTAGGTAATTCAATACTTCTGAAGTTAATGTATTTAGGGAAACACTAATTCCACACTGGAACAGGAAGACATCATTATTGATCTTTTTATAAAATCTGTAGCTCAGACGCTAAAAGGGCATTTTAGATTACAGAGTCCAGTTGACCATTTTTACCTTCACTGAGTTGCATGAGAATTGGAGCTCTCATTTAATGAATTAAAATGAATTATTGGATTAGTCATTTATGGTGGATCATTTGCGACCTTTGAGCTCATATGTTATCAGATATCATTTCATTTGTGCATCTCACTTAGCCCTGACTAGATTGGTGTTGTGCAAGGAGATGGAAAAGCCACGAGAACCGCAGCACAATATTCCTGGAGCATCAGTTTTATTTTACTATTTGGGAATGGGAGGAGTCAAATAATTTATCTGATATAAACATTGCTTTCCCCTTAAAAATATGATAGTCTATAGTTGAGTGGGATATAAAATATACATTTCTAAAAGAATTTTTAAAGGTTAGGTATGTGGATAGAAAGACTTTGGCCGGGTGGCTGCTGATTTTTGACACAGGCTCAGATTTCCCAAGTGTGAGTAATCTCTGTGCCTCTTCTGGCGTCTGGCCACTTGAGCATAAGGTGTGACCATCACGGATGTGTGTGATTTTCTGATCAGAGTTTCTCTCGTGCCTTTCCAAGTGGGATAAAAAGGTAGAAATGTTACTGAGTTGAATATTACATTGGAAACCTATTATTCGCTTAGGGATTGGGAATAAATTTGGTAAATTATTCTTTATTTCTTGTTATTAGTCTATAGTTTTTCTATTTCTTTGTCTTTCAAATTTCAAGCGTTTGTACTCCCTATTTCCCTCTCGTTTTTTTTTTTTATTTAAACTTTATCCATTAATTATTATCTCATTTAGCCCTGTGGACAATTTTCAATTCAATGAAAACTGAACTCATAACCTCCACATCAGACTATGGGTTGAGTCACAGAGAAACATTTTGCTTGCGCTTTGTGTAGGAGCACAGTTAGTAGTACCACGTTTTACACAGTGGGCTTTGACATGTAAGATCTGTATAACTGGTTCAGGTATTACACTAAAAACATTGTTCAGATTAAAAGCTTAATAATTACATTGGTGGCTGATTAATAATCGTAGAAAATTAACAGTGCAAAACCAGCCTTTCATTTGTTTTTGATTAATCTTATGCTTGACAGAATTAGAACAATAGGGCCTCAATTAATCCATAGGTCACTTACCTGGTATTTCCAACTTTCCCAAACAGAGGTGATAACACCGTCAGTAAACCAGAAAGACCTCTAAGTGGAAATAGATGTTTCTGAGTCTCAAGTTAACACTACGTACCTTATTCTTGGAAGGACTCTGAGGACTGCCCTCACTGGGGAATCCTCTGTCTTACAGATTTTTAGTCATTACAGTGTTTTGGTTTCTCAGCTCACAGTAAAACTTCTAATTAGAGGAAGGGGGTCCTGTAAAGACATCAACTAACAAATAACACTGAAGTAAGAAACAAGAAAACAATTTGTAAAGATGTATATAGAAAACAAAATCTATGAATAAGTTTAAATAGGTATTTAAAAAAATAGCACTCTGGGACTGTTTTATATTGTAGCGAGAAACAGCCTCAAACTCTCCCTGAAGTATCCAGCACTTTAATAAATTAAAAGTTTTCCAGCTATTTTTGGAGCACATACGTGCCTTGTATCTATGCCCTAGGTATTTTGCATATATCATCATTTAATCCCCAGGACAGCCATAAGAAATGGATATTACGATTATCCTCACGTTACACCTAGGTATTTTGCATATATCATCATTTAATCCTCAGGATAGCCAGAAGAAATGGATATTACGATTATCCTCATGTTACATGTGAGGAGTCTGAGACTCGGGGAAGTTCACTTCATCTAAGATCACACAGCTAGTGACTAGGAGTTCCAGAACTTACACCTATGCAGCTTGGATCGAGAACCTGTGCCCTTAACCACTCTACTGTCCTCACCACCATCCATACATGAGTTATCCAACAAGGTGGATTCATGTTCCACCTTCATGACATTTTGGTTAAAACTATACAGAAACAAATAGTATGTTTAAAAATATTTGGGGGCCAGCCAGTGGTGTGGTGGTTAAGGTGGTTGAATCCCAGGTGATCCATTACACAGTTTAAGTTCCAGACCCGGCAGCTTGAAAAATACACTGAGTGTGTGTGTGTGTGTGTGCACATGTGTGTGTATATGTCCAAAGTCCCAAAAGGAGAGAGAAAAGGAAGCGAAGGGATTGCAGCATGACCATCCCTCTTGGGAGGGTGTTTCTCTTTTTCCCTGTCCTCTTTCAGTTTTTCCAGCAAGTGCATGTGCCCACTAGCAAATTTTAAAAAGTTTATTTTAATTAAAAGTAGAAATTAAAAAAAATTATATTGAAAGAGGTAAACCTAGTATCTGGGAAAGTCCAAAGTGAAAAGTTGCTTTCATGACAGTTCCTCATAAGAGAGGAATTATTTATATAGATAATATTAAATTCTCATTTACTCGATTTTTGTTTTTAGTTTTGTACATAAAAAAATGAATTACCAAAGTGACTTAGTCAGTGGTAAAGGCAGGGCTAGGCCTATTTATGTGTTGAAAATGCAATTAGAGATTGATGTGATAATGTTTAAATATGAATTTTTACAAAGCAGTGAATCTAGCACAGTGCTTGAATACCTGATTTGTAACAGGCACAATAAATGTTTGTTTCCCTTCCCTGTTTTTTTTTTTTTTTTTAAATGAGAGATTTTGCTATAGGGCACATGCACTCACCAGAGAGAAAAGGAGACAGAAAGCATGAAATCACCTTTCAAAGTGGAGAGCCATGCCACAATCCCTTCTCCTCCATTCTCCTCTCAGAATTTTGGGCACACATGCATATGCACCCGGTGTGAATTTTAAGCTGCTGGGACTAGGATTTTAACTGTGGTCGCCTACATGGGAATCCAGCGACATAACCATTACGCCCTTTTGTTGGTCCCTCCCTTCCCTAGTAATTAACAACGTAAACATTTCCTGTGAAATTAAAGAGACTATTGTAAAGGTGTTAAAATTTTGGGAACCAGCAGTTAGTGTAATGGCTATGTCGCTGGACTCCCACGTAGTCAACCGTGGTTTGTGTCCCGGACCCGGTGGCTTAAAACTCATGCCGGGCACGTGTGTGTGCATGCCCAAGATCCCAAGAGGAGAATGGAGGAGAAGGGATTGCAGTGTGACCATCCCCCCTAGGGGGTAATTTCTCGCTTTCTGTTTCTATGTCTCTCTCTGTCTGTCTGGTGAGCGCACGCGCCCTATAGAGAAAACCTCTCCAAAAAATAATAATAATAAAAAATTGAGTAAACTTTATACCCTGTTTAATTAGATTTCACCATCATAAAGCATGGTAACACTTGATATGCTATTTGTTCATTATTTAAACAGATACTTACTGAGAGATTCCAAGGTAATACCAAAGCCTGTGCCAAACTGGGAGTAAAATATGCTTTGAAAAAAGCAGACGCTGTCCCTGCTCTCATGGAGCTTACCCATTTTTATTAGGGACACACACTATTAATAAGTAGACAAATGAACAAATATAAATTTATGTCTTCTTTGTTGGTGAGCTAGCTAAGGCAATTGTCGAGGAAGAAAAAATATTCTCCTTTAACCTTCTTTGTAGTGACAGTTATTTTAGGCTTTCGAACTTTGTCTGTATTAGAACATGTTAAAATATTTTGCCTTGTTGTCCTCTACATCTAGTCAGAGCATGTCCTAAACTGGCAGTTTTTAAAGGACACACAATCTGACCCATCCACCCATACTTTCAGTGATGAGAGGCGATTGCCATGGTGCGTGTCGTGTTTGGCTCATGCCTTTGTGAAAGCTACAAAGAGATCTAGAAGAATATGGAAACCTGGCCAGGTGCACAGAAAAAATGCAAACCAAGGTTACAGGCTAAACCATGCATAAAAATGAGAGCATGTTGCTACCTAATAATAATTTCTCCGTCTTTTCATTTGTGAATGCCCACAATCCAGAGGCAGGTTATATCCTATGGAAAGATACACAGCAGAGTATAGTCCCACCAGCAGATGTGAAAACCTGCTAACAAGTAATAACATTTCGATTTCTAAACTAAAAGCATAGTTTCTACCATATGGGCAGAAAAAAACTTTAGTAGGAAACATTGAATACAATAATGTACAAAAGCCAGATAACTACATAGCTCTTTGTTTTTAGTGTCCAAAATATACAATGGATTTTAATGTGTCTATAAACTTGGTTAGTATAATGAAGAACGCCTATGTACATATGTCCTTTAAAATGTGAGTTGTGGAAAGTGATCGTTTCCTAAGTAGGGTATACTGACTCCTTCTGGAAGAAAGAGAAGAAATACAATTATTTTAGAAGAAATCTAAAATCCATAGTGATGTATTATTTATTACATGTCATTACATTTTATTAAAGAAAAGCCATGAATGGATATTGGACAGATATATATCTAGAAGGAAGTGAGAATGTTTTTAGAACTTACTTTTATATCAGGCTATTGAAGGATATAGAGGGTTCTTATTCTCCAGCAAAATGAGAAATAGAATTGGAGAAGTAAAGACCTGTGGCTAATCATTAGAGAGAGTAATAATGAATAACTGAAAAAAACCCATTATTCATAAATTTATTATATACTTGTTGATTTGAAAGAAAGTGCAGACCACTTAAAGTACCAATGGTGGCCATTTTCCACCCCATGCCTTTTTCGAAAGGTACATTAAAGAATATATGGGATATTCTGGTAACAAAGAGAAACTGTTTTTATGGTGTTATTTTTAGCACTCATGGCACCTCTCTGCTTTCATT